AAGCTATCTTACAATGCTGGGATTACAGCCATTCCCCAACTCTCTGTGAATGGTACTCATGGCCATTGATCAGTGATTGTTGATCAATGGTCATGAGAATTTGCATAATTATGATGAAGGAACTGACCTCCCAGCCCATTGTTCCTTCAGTGGGCTGGTTTCAGTCATTATGCAAATGTTCTGTTTATAAGATTGGGGAAACCTGCAGAGACTGAAGAAGTCACTTGGATGGGTGATGAAACGTTTCTTCCAAAAAAAACACTGTCCAGATGAACAGAATCAACCTTTGGAGATTTTCTTACCTGGATGATTGAGCATGCATCAAAATGTTGGGCTCGTTTTCTCATGTCCCTGCCCCACTCAGACCAGGAGTGACATGTTTAGCCTGATTTCTCCTTAAAGTGCTGCCTGTTTGAGTTGCATCCAAAAAACGAGGTGAGCTCTTTGGACCAATGGGAAACCTCTTGTTAGGAGAGGCAGCATCCATCCCACTTTGGACGGAGCTGCTTTTATTTCTAGGAATCTGGCCAAATTTAATAAACCCTATAAAACATGACCGTCCCGAGTTGGGAGCGAGAAGCTGTCTCTCTCTGGAGCATCTCATCTGCAAACCCCCAGTTCCCAGACCACAAAAAAACCAACCAAAAATCAGCAGAAAGAAAAAAATAAAAAGAATGAATATTATAATCCTCAGCTGAACCAAAGAATAAAATGGTGAAATGTGGACAATAATCTCTAATGTTAAGCCCCTTTTAGTAAACGATTTAATAAATGATCACCATATTGATTTATGCTGCCTTACAGAAACCTGGCTACAGCAGGGTTAATATGTTATGAGTTAAGGAAAGGGAAGAATCAGCACTCCCCTCTTCCACTCCAGCTCAGGAATCAACCACAGTTTGATTGATTTTAAAATTCATATAGACCCTGAAAATGACACCCTGAAAAGGGGCATTCATCCTGATATTAGACTCAGTCGGCATGTCTCTTCACATGAAATTTTGCATTTTACGTGTGTAAAAGCCATTACGTTGCCTAAAAATAAGATCAAGATCAATAAGACCTATAATACAATTTTGAATTTAAAGAATACTTCCAATAGTTTAATTTGATGGTGTAATTTCGGCTGTAGCTTAGGAGGATTCGGCTGGTGAAGCTGAGGTTTTCCCTAAGGCATTTTTCTGGTGTTTTCCGACCAGCGCCTGGATTGTTCCCAAGATTGTTTGTGTGTCTGTGTTTCCTGGATGCTGTTGATGCCTGCTTGGTGCCCATGGTTGGGTTTGATGATGCTCTTCGGCCTCGTTGCCCATGGTCTCCCAGGCTAAACCTCCACTGTGAACCTTGCCGAAAACTGAGACCGTTGGGTTTCTGGACTTGTTGACGCCTGTGCTCCAGCCTGTGCCTGGTGAACACCAGATCACTTTTAACCAAAACTTTTATTTTGTTTAAAATAAACTTCTCCATACTCCAATAGCAGTGTTGGGAAGGTTACCTTTACATGCCCCAAAATGTATTTTGTAACGTATTCCGTTACGTAACTCATTGAGAGTAAGGTATTCTGAATACTTTGGATTACTTAATATACTGTATTATCATGCTTTTTACAACTACATGTACTTTTGCTGTGTGATTTATTACTATTACTGAAGGCTACTTGCCATACCGATACCAACTAGATTTTTAAATCTTAATATAAAATAAGTAACAGTAGGGTGGACATTAGGTACGGCTGCACTTTTTACAGCGATCTTGTATAGAAAACTATTTGTATATAAAACAGGTCTGCAGCTCCGAACCGTAGTAAAGGGCTAATACGTCGGGTTCCGTGTTGGCCTCGTAGCCGAAAACTAGCTTTACTTTGTTGTCTGGGTCAACTTTGCTAGCAAGAGACAGAGAGAGGCGTTGAAAGGCTGCTCCAACTGAACTTATTGTTTCGGAGGAAAACACGAACACAGTATACAGTCGAGTCTTAATAGCTTACTTACAACTGGGCCCATGAGGCTACATTCTTTAGGTCTATGCCTGTAACACTCTGCCTATTGCCTCCATATTAGATATTAGATAATTTTTTGAACAATAATTTAAAAAAATATTTCGTCACATCATTATGCGGGCTGCGGAGTGACATGGGCCGCGAGATTGAGACACAGGTATTACAGCCTCTTAATGCGTGTTTTGTTTGGGTTTCCACCAGCATGGAATTACCAAAAATAGAAAGAGCATAGCTAACATATGAAACAGGAAAAGACCGCTGTGTAATTCCTTCATTTCAACAAAGGTCGTGTCCAAATTCATGGGCTGCATCCTCCTGAGGACCCGGCCTTCGCGGTCTATGTGGGCCGGGTCCTCAGAAGGTCGGGTAGGCCCGAAGTAAAAGGCTGGGGAAATTGGACAGTCTAGCCTTCTAATTAGCGTCACCGCTGTCTCGATGGAGTTTAATAAACTCGGCCGTCTGCTCCTTGCTATCTAAAATATAACAGGACACTGGCGTAAATTCTCGACTGTCTCATACTTATGTTTAATCAGGTTTCTGTTTGACGTTTATTCAGCTGTGTAAAAACCAAGGAGGAACCCACCCGGGGGATTAATAAAGTTTTATTTTATCTAATCTAATAACTTTAATCTCACCCAAACGGATTTACTCACGAACAAATAAAACACTGAAAAAAGCCCGACAATAACATTTTTAGGTTGTCTAAGTGACTAATATATTACGTTTAACCTGTGTAGCGAAAGTCTGCGGTGATCTAAAAATGATGTGCCGGGAGTTGTGCCGTTCTCGGCGGCTTCAGTGACCCTCGAGCTCCCGGCTAGCTATCGAGCTGGTGGGTAGTGTAAGAAATAAATATATATTTAGTGCTTATTGTTACTTGTTTTAATATAGTTTGCTTCCAGTTTAAGAGAGGGCCAACTTTGAGTATAAACTAGGTCGGAGGCTGACAGGAGACTGCACGCTTTGTGCAGAGAACAGGAAGCGTGGCATACAGAAAGTGAAACTAAGCAGAGTGCACTCCAGATCAAAACTGTGTGTGACATATAGCAGAACTATATATACACCTTTTGGCTTGCAATGTTTTTAGAACTGTGGGTGCGTGTTCGTGTCTACAGTTCTCCGTTTCCGGAAATGTACAATAAAGATGATTTTTTTGAGCTTGACCACTGAGTCCAGTCTTTCTCTGTCGGCAAAGGAATTCAGGAAAAAGAACCGGAATTTAATAGTAGCAGACGTCTCCGAAAAGTCAAAGCACTTTCGCAAATATGCAATACCTTGGTAAATCGAGCAGATATTTGATGTTTACACAGCTACTTTCTCGCCTGAAAATATGTTAAAAGTTTATTTTGTGACCCATAAAGATTAGAAGGGGAATTTTAAAACTTAGTAGCAGCCGCCATTATTGGAAACTGGAGTTTGGCTATGAATTCTGGGATGTGATAGGCCACGAAGGACACACCCGACCCATCCTTCAAATTCGGGGGAAAGGAGGACAAATTTGTCGGCTGCATTCGGAGGAGTCTACGAATTTTTACAGCCTTCGGCGCGTCGCTGTAACGTAATCAGTCTGCAAATGCGGCCTCAGGAGGATGCAGCCCATGAATTTGGACACGACCAAAATTACTCTTATTAATCTTTCTGGGTCAAAAAATAAACTTTAATCATATTTTCAGGTTAGAATGTGGGTGTGTAAACCTATGGTCATTTGACCATAGGTCAAATGAAATAAAAATTGAATTGTTTTGTCACAATTATGTTTCCTTCATTTGGCGAAAAAAGAGAAGCCTTTAACCCAAAGAACACCATCCCCACTGTCAAACATGGTGGTGGGAACCTAATGCTCTGGGGGTGTTTTCCAGCCAATGGACCAGGGAACCTATTCACAGTAAATGGGACCATTAAAAGAGCAATGCATGAAGATTCTCAATGACAACATCAGGCAGTCTGCAGAGGAACTTGGCCTTGGGCACCAGTGGATATTTCAGCACGACAATGACCCAAAACACATAGCTGAGGTAGAGAAAAAATGGTTAGGAGACAAAAACATTAACATTTTGCAGTGGCTCAACCAGAGTCCTGACTTGAATCCAACTGAGAATCTGTGGAGGGAGCTAAACATCTGGGTGACGGCAAGAAGACCCTCCAACTTGAAAGATTTGGAGCTCATTGCTAAAGAAGAATGGGCAAAAATTCCTGTGGAGACATGCAAAAAGCTGGTCTGTTATTATAGGGAGTGTTTGATTGCTGTAATAACCAATAAAGGCTTATCTATAGGTTACTGTGAAAGGTATGAATAATTCTGGACATAAAACGTTTCGCTCAAATGTCAAAAGCTGAGAATTTTTTTTCCCACAATGATGCCTCTTGTACATTGTACATATGCCTGTGTCATTTCTGGTAAAAAGAAAAACACTTGCTGGTTGAATAAAAGCAACTTTAAGTCAAAATATGCCAGGGGTATGAATAATTATAGGCTTGACTGTCTCTCTCTCTCTCACTCATATATACACATATATATAATGTATGTGATGTTGAGTGTAAGGTGAGTGTATTTATAAATAAGGAGGAGAAAAGGGAGAAAAGGAAAAGAGAGAGAGGAAAAGAGGCAGGTTGTTTGGAATGTCAAAGAAGGAAAAGTTGGGGACAAGAAAAAAAATCTTGTTAAAGAGAGTACAGACAGATCACTACAGCAAAGACAAAAGAGGGATACAAACAGTAGTAACAGATGAACAAACAATTTTAACCCTAACAATACAATTTTTCAACTCCATTGAACTGGATGAGAGGAAACGGCTTCTACTGCATTCCTGAGAGAATGAGTGACAAAAATATGACATGATGAGAACTGAGAAGGATAACAGAGAGGCGAGAAGGGTGGGACAGAAGAAAAAATGAAGAGAACTAAAAAAAGATTTTGGACAGTTGACAAAATAAGAGATTTACATTTTCAAAACAAAAGCAAAATCTAGAACTGATTCAGGTCAGCAGTTCCTCTTTGCTCTATCACAAGAGGAAGGACAGGGAATAAAAGCAAACAAGGGCTGGTAATACAAAGAGCTACTAATGCACAAAATGAAAAGAGGAATTGTTTCTGAACAGTTCAGTGCTTTGCTATTACCTTAAACTGTTGCAGTAGGAACTTTGGATTACTTTGAAAAGGGGCAGCTGAAAGACAGCGAGAGGGAGATCCAGACCAAAAAAGGTGTTGAGTCAGAGTTGGAGAAACTGCAGGCTTAACAGACGCACGGCTATGGGAAGAGAAGAAAAAGGAGAGACCCCGACAGACATCCAGGCATCTGACAGACATACAAGCGAGGGAGAGTGTAAGTGACAGTAAACTGAGGGAGGGATAGAGAATATGATAAAAAAGAGGATGTCTGTATGAAAACCTTTGCTCATGTTCTGTGATCAAGCAGAACAGCTAGAAAGGAAAGGCAATTGAGGAGGGGTTTGCAGTAGAATTAGGTCGTGATCTGGAGAAAGCCATTACTATAGACATAATTTTAAAGAGTCAAACCGGAGAAACTGCAAACTGAACATTTAAAGTCATGGACACCAGGGCTTCACTACAGCACTAAAACAAACAACCAAGCCCTCACCCCCTGGGAAAAATGTCTGCGGGGCCTGACCTAGGTGCCTCTGATCTGGCAGAGGGCCACCGGACCACAGGACCTGTTGGACTCCAAACACTGTTGGATCTACTGGTTGGCGTCTATCAGGAATTCTACTCTTCACCCTTTGCAAGGGAGAAGTATGTCTCTGGTTTTCTCCAGTGGGGTGAGTTCTTGCCTCTTGTTTTAGATGTGTGTGATTAGGTATTTTATTTTGTATATAAAAGTATGTAATTAGCCAACTCCTCACAATTGCTCCTTTATAATATCTCTAAATATTACTCTGCTGGACATTATATGCTTCTTGGCAACCATTTTGTTTTGCTGTCAGTCTCTCAATCACTTGTACTCGTGCTGTTTAAGAGCTACATTTCAGAACAGAAAACCAGAACTTTACTTATTATTCATTAATGGATGGACATACAAGTATGACTCACTGGTGTAAATATGTGTAACTTAGAATCCACATTCTTCCCATCTTAAACAGTTAAGCTTCATTCGAATATAATTCACTGGTCATATAATCTGTAGTTTAGACGTAGCAGCAGGCTGTGGAATTGAAGTATAATGAAACTGCCAATGATTTTAGGATATAAGTATTTACAGAACAGGGATCATGCATGGAGAACCTTCAAACATAGTAGCAAAGTGGGCATAATCTATGGAATTTTTCATTATCTGTGTAAATAAGTTTGATGGAATCATACTTATATACATTATGATTCCCTTATGAATTCACTGTCACCCCAAGGATGGTTGAACAGGCAATAGGTTGCCAAGAATACAGTGATTTAATACCAGATATAATTATATAATCCCACAGAGAGAATCACAGCTTACATATAAAGCTGCTTTTTGTGTTCGTCTTTTGATTTTGCATCCCCTCTTTCTTCCTCATTATTGACAGAATTGATCCATACGTGTGACTGGCTATAAGTATACCAACTGTATTTTCCAGTAGGGTGGAGAAGCTATCATCTTTTCAGTGACGTCACATTCCAAATTTAACACAACATGTGTGCAAGAATGAGGATCTGGTTTCAGGAAACCACCTGATCAACAATCAAGCAGATTTCTGTTTTTAGCTGGACTAAAGAGTGTGAACGTCACAAGAAATAATCTTGCTTCACACAGGTGGAAGACTCATGAGCATCACAGCTAAGGGGAAAATATTCAATTATTCTATGCTGAGATGGTAGAGCATCACAAGTATCTCTTTCAATAAAACAATTTTAATAGAAAACTAAAATGGTTAAGTTTTGTCTGCTTCCACTTGTCTTTGCACTAGGATGATGTCGGCGTAAATGTGCAGTCATATTCGTTGTGGTCCCACTAGTGCTTTCAGGTTAATCTCGTTGAAATGACCTTAACGCCACAACACGGCAAATCTCCGTTAACGAGCTAAGGCCGATCGCTCCGTGCATGGGGCTAGACGGCCAACACGTTAACGAGCTAACTGCGCTAACACACTAGTTCCCACCCATGTAATTGAGCATTGCGTGGCACATCCAACATACTGTTTTACTTTAGTCCATGACTCGCTTACCTTCAGGGTCATACGTCACATGAAAACCAAAATAATTCCAAACGCCAGATCTGAATGAGGTTCAATTTGCCTGTTGCAAGGAGAGCTTAACTTCTGTCTCGCTAGCTTGCCCTGCGCTCTTCCTTCTGACTATGCTGTCTGTGTGAGCGCTCAGTGGATCTGCGCTCGACAGTGCAGCCTAGGCGGAGTAGTCGAACACAGATTCACTGAGCGCTCAACACAGACAGCATCGTCAGAAGGAAAGTTGATAAAATAAATTACAAATGTTGTATTGTTCGATACATATGCGTACCGAACCGAAAGCACTGTATCGAACGGTTCAATATCGATACGAATATCGTTGCACCCCTAATATATATACACACACACACACACACACACACACACACACACACACACACACACACACACACACATTAACAAACCACATCAAACCAAGTTCTACAAAAGGAAAGTGTGTTTTCATACTCCTCTTGTTCCATCTCTTTTTCTGTCTGGTTTGCTTATGGTGTCTTACCTCCCTACATGGCTACCTAAACAGAAGATGTCATTGATGGGTACCAAGCCAGTGTCAATATTTACAGGAACGAGCAATGACTCCATTACTGCATTTTCTTTTCTTTTCTCTTTGTTGTATACTCTTAAAATGCTATCTTAACAGCACTGGTCAACAGAAGTTTTGGTAGCAAAAACCATTTCAGTAGCAAATGCAAAATCCAATATAAAAATAAAAACATATGTTGGTGGCACTTTCTATTACAGCTCCAAAAAATAGAAAAAGCTTGGTGTCAACCATGGTGGCCAAGCTGTCATCCCTGTTAGAGAACACCTTCCACCCCATGCAGGTCTTTTTGACAGCACTGAGCAACTCCTTCAGCGACAGGCTGTGGCAACCAGTGTGTCAAGGAGGGATTTAGGAGCTTGTTCCTTCCAATTGCTTCTTTACAATGACCCACAGCAGTACAATTACTGTATCTTTGTATCTCTCACACACATACACATGATATTCTAATAACATCAGTGTCTGTTATTACTGTAGAATACTGTCACTTTTTGTTTAATATATTTAACGCCTGTTATGTCCTGGTGTAGGGGTACCGGAACGCAACATAAGGGTTAAAAGCAAAGTGACACCGCCCTGGTTCCCAAAACCATACACAGAAGCCGATTTACAAGTTAAAGGTGGTTTATTTTGTCTAAACTGAAGCTTAACTCTAGGGAGAACAAACAAAACAAGCTTATTCAGAAATGGAGGTGCTATCTAAACCCTAGGTGAAACAAAAACCAAACAAAAGTCAAGCGCTACTCCTAACTGAATAAGTAAGGAGAAAACATTACAGACAATAGTAAGGCAGTTCACCCCATCTGCTTCCGCACCCATTTACACGTGAAAAGTAATCTATTTACAAAGCTCAACAGTCCTTAGCAAAACATGTGCACAAAAGTCACAGAGTTTGGAGGCCAAGGACGGATCTGCTGCTGCTGTCAGTTGCTGTCCCGAGACAACTGCTGGAGAGGGTTTTTCAAAACAGCCACTTGATCAGGAAGCCAATCAGCAGCCGTCAGCTCTGGAATGACCTGTAGACTTTTAAACACAGAACAAAAAAAGACAGCCACCGGGATCCGAATTATGGCCCGGACCGTAACACACCTTTAACAGAAAGTGTGGAAACCAGTGCAGTTAGACACATTCCTCAGGCTAAGGCAGTATGCTGCACAGTTTGGAGCTTGTTGTCAAGTGTATCCAATGGACTGCTTTCAAACATATCCTGTTCAAAACATAACGCATTTGCATTTATATAGCACTTTCCTAGTCTTAAAAATCACCTTGAGTGATTTTAGACCACAAGTCACAAGTTACATCCTTTTCCTTCTGGGTCAATTAAATGTTTTATCCAGTTGGGAGAGAGACATTTTTTTCAGAGCCTTGGCGGTTATTAGCCTTGATAGAACTAGGTTATTTATTAGGTCATGTGCAGTGACTGTCCAAGGATCAGTGATGTGGATGACATGAAAATAACCTCTGAAAATAACAATCTCATTATATAAAATAAAAAGCATCAAAGCACCACAGGACTCTATATATTACTTTTAGTCTACTAACCCAGAGAATTGGCTTGTTGTTTTTTTAAATGTTTGTTGCTTTTTTAAATTAAATATGAGGGTGACTTTTCACACTTTTGTGAAGTAACTTTGCAATACGTTGTATATCTAAAACTGTTCTTTCTTCATCTAAAAAGTTTACGCTGTACGTCTGTGTCACCCATATTCCTCTCTGGACCTGAGAATGAAACAAAAAATAATGGACTGGAAAACTTCCCTCTATTCATAAACGATAGCTGCTATTTTTAGTTGTAAAGACTGAGTCCAAATCTGACAGTTGCTATGCTGAAGAGGAACTCCATTTATGGAAAACAGAACAATGTTATGCTTAACAGCAAGGACACAGAACAGGGAGCAGTATGCATACTCACAGGTTATAAGAGGCATCTGTGTTTTTTGGGAACCAGTTGGCCACATCTAAAAAAGAAAGGAATGCAAATTTCACTTTTAGGGATATCTCCATTCACATATGTAAAAAGTGTACATACCTGATAGTATTCTGCTTAAGAATATTTGACTTGGGTCCAACTGGAATGGAATGGACTGTCAATTACATAGGAGTTTTCTAGTTCTACTAACTACTCCAAGCCACGTTACAAGCAAACATTCACGCATATTTATGCACCACTTTATTTACACAGAGCCTTATCGTGGCACTCAGGTGTGTACCACCCTATGAGTGCCATACATGCTAAGAATCAACAAATCAACCCAAGATGCAGATTGTTGAGCTGTGAAAACAAGCCAGAGTATATGCAGGTCACTGTATGCTAGCACAAGGAGAATATGAAAATTTCACACAGATCAGTCTCAGCCAACTTAAACCCAGAGTTGTCTTACTGTGATAAGACCCCTGAACCAAACTGCTGACCACATGTCCATCTATTAACTTGTGTTTTTTGTTTGTTTGATTTATAACAGTTAGGTACATTTAACTCCATCTTATGCTGTAGAAAGCAATTTGGTGGCATTATTTGTGTCCACTTGTCCTAGTACATCGAAAGGTTTTGAAAAGTTAGTGCTGAATTCTATGAATTTTCTTTTCTTTTAGACTTTGGTCTTGAATCACCACATATCATCTCACAAACAGGGACTCCACAAGGGACTGTCCTGGCTCCATTAGATTTCACATTGTAAATATACAGCAGACTTCAAATACAAATTTGATACCTACCCCATTCAGAAATACTTGGATGACACTTCCATTGTGGTGTGTATCAGGAATGGACTGGGAAGCTTTCAAAAACTTTCAGCAACTGAAGTCACAAAAACAACCTTATATCTAAAGTCTCTAACACGAAGGACATGATAGTAGATTTCTGAAGATTCAGGCCTCCTGCTGTCAAGGTTTTTAGGGTGGGCATAGAGATGGTAACAAAATATAAATATTTAGGTTTATATCTAGACAACAAACTAGACTGGTCCCTGGATACAGACAAACTATACAAAAGGGGAAAAATCACCTCTTTTTGTTAAGGAAACTAAGATCACTTGACATCTCTAGTAAACTGCTGCAG